AATGCCAAGATATTTCACCTCCGTTCCAAATAGAATGACCACACCATTGAGGGAAAGTGGCGTTAGATCGTCCGATTTCCTTCTGTTGGTGAAGGGGATTAACACAGTTTTGCTGGGGTTGACAGACATCTGCTCCCTCAGGCACCAACTGTGAACAACATCCAACGCGCTTGGAGGATATTACAAGCTACCCTTCCCGACGTGGACCTTGCCAGAATGACAAGGTCATCTGCATAAGCTTGCAGATCAACTTTTCTTCAGTCGAGGGCATCAAGCAGACTATCCACCAGGAGCGACCACAGAAGGGGAGATAGTACCCCACCTTGAGGGCAGCCCCTGGTGACTCTGAACTTGATAGCCTCGCCTTAAAGAGTCGTAGTTGCAGTTCTGTTTACTAGCATGGCAAAGATCCAACCAGTTATGGTAGATTCTATACCCTTTCTAGCCAGAGATAATCCTATAGATTTAGGTGGTGCATTGTCAAATCTCCTTCAATATCAAGAAAAACAGCAACCGCAATCTCCTTGTTGTCAAGGGATTGGGAGATTTTCTCAACGGGGTTGTTTAATGCTGAATCTGTCGATTTGCCGGTTTGATAAGCATACTGGTGGTTATTCAGTGGGGATGCATATAATGGTACCCTCCTGAAAGTCCGTCCAGTATCTTCTGAAGTCCATTCAGCAGGAAGGATGTAAGGCTGATTCGTCATACCGATTTGGGTTGTGGGTCTCTCCGGACCACCTCAGGTATATATACCACCCTTGCTGCCAACCAACTGGGTGGTATATAGTTCCACGCCAGACTAGCTCTATACAATTTTATGAGAATAGGTAAAATTATTTTCAGTCCGTTTTGCAGAAGAGCTGGAAATATACCATCCTCTCCTGGAGATTTGAAGGGATGAAAAGATTTGATAGCCCATTCAACGGCCGGTGCTGTGATAACCTTCCTTGCGACATCCCAGTCGTTCTTTTTTGGGCGTTTAGCGCCCTCGAAGAAGGGCGGTCTGTTGTTATCAAGAGATATTAGCCGGGAAAGGTATTTACCAGAACCTACAGTATAGGTAGTTGAAAGAAATGAAAATTTGAAAACCATAACTATTCCTAATGATAATGAGAAAATAGGTTCCACCACTAAAGTCAGGATTAGAGTGGTCGAATGGAACGTGTAGTACCAATGTTTTTGTCTGCTCCTACATCATCAGATGTATTATACCTCCAAGTCTCAGCAATGACTGACAGTCACTCATTGCTGAGACTACAAGTAGCATACGAAACTTTTGGTACACTTACCGAAACCCACGGTGTCGATAGTTGAGATTTTATTTCGAAATATTCATTCTCTTGTTAAAAAAAATAGTTATGTTTTGCCCAAGCTTACAAGCTCTATAATAAAATTTTGAATACGTAAGTTCATCACTCATGCTCAAATGAAAAACAACAATAGCTATTATAAGAGCATGTCAAATGTAGCAGAGCTTTCTAAATTTTTATGTAGTCCTGCCCACTACATGTGCGTTAGAAGACGAAGATGCTCAGTTGGCATAATAATCTCGTAGTGTTCTCGTATACATTGGCAATACAGTGTACGACAAAAATCTATACAGGGTGTTTCAAATTCGATCATCACCATTGGGATCTCGGAAACTATAAGAGATACGAAGATGGTTGAATTGGGGCAAACTTGCACATTTACCTGACTAACAATATGCCGGTGAGAAAGTTCTGAAATTCCAAGTATATCCAGAGATATCCAGAAAAAACAGAAATTTCGAAAAACGGTTTTTATTTTTTTCTGGCTTAATTTTTCGAAGGATTCGAAGAGGTGAAAAAGGTGAAATCTGATTCTATTCAAAACAGAAAGTTGATAATGGTGGCCGGAAGACGAAACGTCGGATAGCAAATCTGAAAAACACATTAAGTAGCAGGGAAAAAGTGAAAAAAGAAAAGACCGTTTTCCGAAATATCTGTTTTTTTCGGATATCTCCGGATATACTCGGAATTTCAGAACATTCTCAACAGCATATTGTTCGTTAGGTGAATGCGCAAGTTTCCCCCAATTTAATATTCGTATCTCTCATAGTTTCCGATATCCCAATGGTGAGGATTGAATTTGAAACACCCTGTATAATGAAAAATTAATTTACTTCTAAACTGATAAACAAAGTCCCAACAGAACAAACAAGAAAAATGATTAATCAAATCAAAATGTACTTTATTGTCGAAGATGAAATCTCATTAAAAAAGTGTTACTATTCTAAGAAATATAAGATACACAACTTAAAAGATATTGTCGAAGATAAAATATTACTGTCAAAAGTGTTATTATTTTAAAGAATATAAGTTATACAAATTGAAAGTAATTGTCGAAGATAAAATATTATTGTCAAAAGTGTTATTATTTTAAAGAATATAAGTTATACAAGTTTAAAGTAATATTTGAACATTTGGTGATTAAATCCTTGTGGAACACCACAAGTAACTTTCTGGAGATGGGATATGTTGTCCGGGAGTTTGACTTTCTGAGTACGTTCTGACAGGTATGATCTGAACCATTTCAAAGATATATCTCTAAAGCCATACACTTCTAGTTTTTGCAGCAGAATTTCAAATTCAGATCACAAGTATTATTCAACAAAAAGCAAATAATGACCCTTTTTATTATAAGTTCAAGAGCGTAGTGCAAAAGCAACAGGAGTTAAGTTTTAATGCCATTAAAAGAATACGTAGTGCGATCAAAGAAATCAAAGGCGGTCACCCAAAAAAAGTAAATCTTTCTAAAATTTGTATAAAGCCCTGATTTCTCAACACGAATGACTTTTTTTAAATAACAGTTTGACATACTATGAACATAAAGGTTACATCACTTGAAAATAAAAGGGTTTTCACTTCACCGTCAGGCCAACTCTTGTTTTCCAAATACTGATAATATTTTCATGATTCGTTTCTCACCAACCAGAGCAAAATCTCACAATATTCGAATATGATTCGAAACTTTTCAGTCGATCACTCCTCTTGTAACATCAATCATGGTACACACTGTATATTTATTCGTTACCTTGGACTCAACTGAGCAAACGCAAAGTACACAGAATCACTCATGGCCGGTTATATAGGTTGCTTCAAAAGTTTCGTCCGTTTTAATGAGTCCACTTCAAACTGTAATATACGTGACACAATCAATTCCGTCAACATGACAATTATGTGCTCGGGATTCGATGAAGTCCACGAAGGCCATTTTTGCCAGGTCCTAATAGCCGAAGGCTCTACCGGTGAGAAAGTTATTGAAGTGCTTGAAAAAAGTATTCGATTGGCGAGAGGTCTGGGGAGTATGGTGGCTTAGGCGGAACTTTGACGTTCAATCCGTTTAAATTTCGAACGATGAGTTGTAAAACAGGCGGACGAGCGTTGTCTTGGAGCAGAATCGGGCCTCTTCTGTTAACCAGTGCCGGCTTCTGCTGACGCAATTGTTATTACATTTCGTCGATTTCTTCGCAATAGGACTCTGCTGAGATGATTTGGTCCGGTTATAGAAAGTTATAGTGAATTATACCATCCGCTGACCACCATACAGTAACCATTGTCTTTTTTGGTGAGTTTTTGCCTTCGGGATATGCCTGGGTGGCTCATCGGTGTCCAATTACTATCCTGAACGACTCCTGTTGTCGTAGAGGATATACTTTTCATCACGCTTGACGATCTGATGCAAAAGGGTTGTTTCGGTTGCGCAACTTTAAAGAAAAACTGACTTCGAAACGTGACAATTTCTGTCCATCGTTCAAATCGTGAGGCACCCACTTTTCGAACTTTATGGCCTTTACAATACGTTTTGAAGCATCCAAAACCACATAGGAGCTGACGCCTAGTTCTTCTGCCATCTGACGCACCGTTTGTGATGGGTCAATTTCCACCAGGTTCCTCAAATCCCCGTCCTGGATTAATGAAGATTGACCACTTTGGGGTTCATCTTCGAGGCTTAAATCTCCGGAAAGAAATCTCGTTAACCAACGTTGGACAGTGTGGTCGTTAACACTGTCATTGCCAAATGCCTGGTTAATTTTTCGGGCTGTATCGGCAGCGCTTTCGTTCAATTTGAATTCGTAGAGAAATTGGCCGGAAAGAAAAGAGACAAAAAATCAAAAGTTGGAAGAAAATGAACAGCGTAAATGCAAAATCCACTATTCTATCAATCAGTATACACTGCTACAAAGTAAAATATATATTCATTGAGATATGGAGCTACAAAAACAAATGACATTAAAACGGACAAAGTTTTCTAGCATCTCTTCTGAATACGTTTTTGTTTCTCCAACAAAGAAAGCACTTATATTACTCGTACTCATATCTCTATAACATAATTTAGACTCAAATGATATAATTAATATGTTAAGTCGCTTCGCTTCCTCAAGCTTTTTTATCCATAATGATTGAGCTAAATTGATTTCCTCGCGCTTCAGGTACATTCAAATCAATCAGGTAGGATCCTTTTCTTAGTAGACAGGCTTGAATTGCTCCTTTTACAACAGTATATTATAAAGTACTTACTTTCTCTTAATTTTCCTCCATTTGCAGTTTTATTACTATTTCAGATAGCAGTTGAAGCTGTTGGTAATATAAGAACCGTAGCTTCCTTATGTTTAGAAGACCAAATTCATAAACTCTACACCACAGAACTGATTCCCTACTACCGATCTGTTCAACGCAATGTATATTGGCGAGGAATAGTATTTGGTCTTTCAAGAAGTATGACATTCTTCACCTATTCTGCTAGCATGTACTATGGCGGTCGTTTGGTCATTGATGGATTNAAGATATAAAAGAATAAAAATAATAAAAATAAGTATAAGCAGGGATGGCCACTAACACCCCTGGCCTTTGATGAGTTGCGACACCACTTACCCGAGCAACTGGTGCAAAACCGGACCGGCAGCCCAGGCCACCCGGTAAGGAGAACTCTACTCTCTCTCCGGTGCTCGGAGGGGTCAGAGGCAAGGTGGTGGGGTCCATAACAATAATTTGCCTACCGATGACAACCCTGGCAATGAGAACAGACGCTTTGAGTGGACGCATGGGCTAAGAGAGAGCCTTGAAGGCTGTCATTCTTGGCTCACTGCGCTTGCTCAGGGCACATGATTCTTGGACCCAATGATCACTTACCCCACGGTGTGTGTGGGGTTGTCATTGGTTGATAATGCTGGCGCACCCTCCCGAATGTATAAGGGGCTTCGGGGGATAGGGCCTAACCAGCGCACACTACGGTGAAAAAAATAAAACCAAACCAAGTTACTTCACGACCATTCGATTGTTAGTATCAATAATCGTCTTCGGGCGATGACTGGACTATTCGAGAAGAAATAAGGCATCATTAAAAAATATCTTAACGGAAAGGTTACTCCAAAGTGAGAGTGGAGCAGACTTTGGCTAAAAGACAGGAAGAGCCTCGCAAGGAAGAGAAGTTGGGGAAGAAGAATTGGGTCCGAATACAACATCAGAACCTGCTTCAGATCCGGAAATATCATCCGTAGCAGCCTCACTAAAACCAGGCCACCAAACATGGACTGCGATTCCAAGAATTGCATTTACCGGATACCCTGTTAGTGTGGCAAATCCTATATCGTTGAAACTAAGGGGCCATTGAAAGTTCGCAATGCCGAGCACAAGAAATACCACATAAATGTTCTTCAACAATGTATGCAGTCAAGCTAGCGTAGAGATACGCAAAATATGGAAACCCATAATCAATCGAAAAACGGCCAACTCCCACGAAACGATCATCTTCCGCTATAAACTGGTGAAACGGAGAGAGAAAATAGAGAATAGGTGAAAGCACTCGAATGACCTTCAAATAGTCATCTCTCGGAGGAATAGTTCAGTCATCATACGAAGACGTTGATGATAATCGAAACATCGTAAAGTAACTTGGTCTAGAATATGTTTGGTTTTGTTAAGTTTTGTTAAGTAAATAAATTTCTAATTATTATTATTCTTATTTCTTGAAATGAAAATTTTAATCGACTAGTCTTATGTTGAGTTTAAATCCTATAACTCAGTGTATAGAGATTTTTCTCAACAC